ATTGTGAAGTGAATGCAAATCTGAGCCAAACTATGTCCCTACTACTGTCTACTAGCACTTTGCAACAAGTACTTGAATATGATGTTATATTTGTATACTATTTGTTCCAGTGTTCCATATATTTGGTAATGATGATAGCTTTGACCGAGTAATGAAATTGATGGCAGCTTGTGTTGGTTCTATTTCTATCATTCTATGTACTTTCATATGCCCCCATTTACATTTATTGTTTACTTATTTCTGGCAATGATGAAAGCTGCTACTCTGCTAGAGTGCTAGCCTTCTACACTTCTACCATATTGAAAAAACAAATGGGTTGGTATTGATTCTATTTCTATATAGGTTTGAATGCCCCCATTTATTGTGAAGTGAAGCTAAACCTGAGCCAAACCTGATTGTATATAGTATTCATACAAATTTATTCTGAACCAAAAGCTAAATCTGAAACCTAAATACTACACTTGTACTATTTTTTTGACAAGTCATTTACCTAGGAACATATTGAATGACTAATTGACTATTATGATACTGGTCTGCTACACTGCCTACACACATGGAAGTGATGGAACTCTGGAAGTAGGAATGTATATGTGAAGAAATGGAAGCAGGAACTCCAGGAAGCATGGAACTATGTTAATTTTTTTGTTGCTACTTGATATTTTGGAACTTTGGAAGTTTGGATTACTCAAACTCTATTCTCTATTATGTATAAGTATTTAAGTAACAACTGTATAAGTAACTAACTGTGTTTGGAGACATGGAGTTGTACAAACTAAAAGTACAAACTCTAATCTAATGTTGTATTGCTCTACAAAATTTTGTGTTATTTAATGGTTTTAATCTACCCGAATCAACCCGAATATCCGATACAAACCGACCGGAATCCGAAATTGGGCAACCCGAGTAGCCCGAAATTTTTATTCCACAGGGTAGGGTTTTAAATTCCTAACCCGATAACCGAACGGGTTTGCCAAATCCTCACCCGTCCTACCCGAACCCGTCCGATGCTCTCCCCTAATTAAGAATATCATAAAAGTGAGAAGCTATGAATATCAAAAGAGTGTTGGTGCCCTAGCTCAAATCAACAACCGATTAAACCCGAGGCCCCGAATACCTAGTGTTTACGTATACTTAATTACCTTCCATGATTTAATTCACCGGAATCATTTAATTTAGAGCTTTTTAAAGTATTCAACGTTGGAAAATATTCCAATGTGCCCTTGGACCATTTATATAATTTAATAAATATTGGGGACATTTATGTCTTACAATTAAGTTTGTCATATGACATATTTGGTCCCTGTATTGATATAGTTAACGATGAGTATGTTTTAACATTAAATAATAGGGAGAAGTACATAAAACGTACCTGTGGTTTGGGCCATTTTCAGATAGGGGCATGCGTTTCATTTTCTAACAAAGTGGGCCATGTGTTTCATTTCCGTTATCATAGCAGGGGCATGATATCTAACGCTGTTAGAAAACTTAACCCCGATTTTAAAAAGTCTCCTAAAAATTAAAAGAAATATACTGGGAGATGCGCCTCATTAAGGAGATCAACAAACTATCTTTATTTTTTTGTTTCCAGCCACCATATCTTCAGAAAGTCGACCAGAAAATTGATATTAGTGAATTTGTTTTTAAAAATAATCCAAATAGAGCCGAAAAATCCAAAGAGAAAAATAGTTTATTGATCTCCTTGACGAGGCGCACCTCCCAGTATTTTTCTTTTAATTTTTCGGAGACTTTTTAAAATCGGAGTTAATTTTTCTAACGGCGTTATACGCCATGCCCCTGCTATAACGGAATTGAAACACATGCCCCACTTTGTTAGAAAATGAAACACATGCTCCTATCTGAAAATGGTCCAAACCACAGGTCATGTTTCTCTTTGATACAAACATATACACTCGTTCGGCTCTTAATCTTATGACAAAAGAAGAGACACGCCTCTTCCTTAGGGTCTCAAGAACACCATTATAAATAATGAGACTCAAATGAGAACCGATCAATCCATCACAAGGCATTTGTATCCTTAGAGAATATATCCACATATCCATGGCTATGGCTTCATCATCTTTTTTTTTTTGGTACATCGGAAAAGAAATAGCAATGCAAAAAGGAATAAATAAACAAGCAAACAAAGTTATCAGAGCCATATATCTCTCGCTAACATTCATAAATTTCGAACTTTGATTTGCCGTAATTAATCGCTTATGTGGTTTTCCCCGTTCATACTTTTCATTATGTGAAAACCTGTTGAAGTGTTCTGGTAGTCATATTGTTTCCGCTGAATTATCTTGTCAGTTTTTCAATTTAATTATTACTTAGTTGTGTCGCTGCCTCTAATATCGATTGGAGTATCAAATGTGCCGACCATAACATCATGATTCATTTTTTATTCTTATTCTTCAAACCCACTTTCCGGACGTTCCGATAGAAAATGAAACTGTGGTTTTCATTGTGATGCATCAGTTTATATAAGAAGTGCCTGACACCACATTTAATGATTCACATATGTATATATGGTTTTGTATTCTGTATATACTACGTATATGTTAAAGTGATGTATGTGACTGTTAATTTTCGTATGCATCAGTCTATTGTTTTATTCTTTGAACTCAAATTCAGTTTTGAAATGAATCCTTTTGTCCGCATTTTCGTTCATCAACATAAAGTATAAGTGTTTAATTCTTCCAGAATGAAGCCTAATGAATAATTGTGTTGAGAAATGCATATGATTGTGTTGCTTTGTTTTATTGATTAAGAACATCGATATAAACACATAAATGAAGCACTAGTTGGGTTTTTGGACCTGCAATTTTTGTTTTCCAGAATGAATAATATCATTCCAAAACGCAAGAATTTGACAGATTTGACCATCTGCAAGATGCTTAAAACATAGTCCATGATTTAGGACTACTATTGCATCAAATTCAATTTGCTTCCATATTCAAAGTTGTAATATGGATTATTGATAAACTTAATGTCAAATTCAATCAGCCAAATGGAAGATTATTGATTTTGACTATCTTAAACGATTATATTAGTTTTCTTTTAACAAATCCAAAGGTGTGTTAATTATTTAATAACTTGTATAATGAAATTTAAGCATAAACAAATGTGTTATATTTCTGCCCAAAAGTGATATGTGACACAATTTGCAGCCTAAATTTTAACTTTAATATCATAATGTTTGATAGTTAGCATTAGCCAACGCATTGTTAGTTATTAAACACGATATGGAATTTTCCTATTATTTGTTGTTGATAATAGGCTTATTTACTAATGATTGATCCAAACTTTGATAAGGGAATATATATAAATTCCCTTATATATATATATATATATATATATATATATATATATATATATATATATATATATATATATATATATATATATATATATATATATATTATAAATAGCTTCTATTATTGCCTCTTTTAAAATTTTTATTTTAGCATCTACTGTTACCCCATACAATTATGGGATAGAACCTCTAAATGGTACAAACTTTTCAACATGAAGAGAATCTGTAAAACTCTCCCTTGGCATGATAGACCTCGACCAATGCAAGCGCTAAGAATTGACCCACCAGATGCTCCTAACGCTGAAAGCACTGTTGAGCAGAAGCGTTCTTATGAACAGTGGAAGAGGTCCAACCGAATGTGCCTCATGGTGATTAAGAATTCCATATCAGTATCTATTCGCGGAGTGATTCCCGACTCTGAAAATGCGAAAACCTACCTAGAATATGTGGAAGAACAGTTTAAGGGCGCCTCTAAAGCACATGCTAGTACCCTGATTCTCAAAATTTTGACTAATAAGTACGATGGAGTGAGTGGTATTCGTGAGCACATCATGAAAATGTCTGATATGTCTAACAAGCTCAAAAGTATGGACATGGAGATTAGTGAAGGTTTTCTCGTTCATTTCATAATGACTTCTCTACCTGCGTCTTATGGTCCGTTCAAGATCAATTACAACACGCCGAAAGAGAAGTGGACCATGAGCGAGTTGATTGCCATGTGCGTTCAAGAAGAATGCCTAAAAGTTGAAAAACCAGATGTTACTCATCTTACCATCACAAAGTCAAGGAAAAGGAAAGGCAACCGTCAAGGATCGGAGGAGAAAAATGTAACATGTCTAAGGTCCCAAACATAGGTGCAAGCGTGAGCTCCGATCCCTACTGTAAGTTTTGCCGTATCAAAGGGCATTACCAGAGGCCGGGAGTGTCCTAAGTTTAAGACATGGCTGACTAAGAAAGGTAACTTAACCACTTATGTAATTTATGAGTCAATGAACACATCAGTTCCCATTAATATTTGGTGGATTGACTCTGGTTCAATGGTTCATCTTTCAAACACACTGCAGGGATTCCATTCAATCCGGACATTGGGAAGAAAAAAGTAAAGAGTGATTAAGGTGGGCAACGAAGAAGAATTAGAAGTAGAGGCCATTGGATCTATCTCATTATTTTAGAGAGTGGCTTCATTCTTCATCTTCGTGATGCTCTTTATGTACCTAATATTACTCGTAATTTAGTGTCTGTATTGAAACCAAGTGTTGATGGTTTTACATTTAATTTCGTATACAATAAAGTGACAATAAGCTTGAACTCAAATGTAATAGGATTTGGTAGCATGGAGGGAAACCTCTATAAATTATGCTTAGATACTAATTTTATGGAATCCCCTTTGTCATTTAATATAATTGAAAATCCTTGCAAGAGAAAGAGAGAATTGGAATTCTCATCCAATTTGTGGCATCAAAGGTTGGCCACATATCACGAGATCGAATGATAAGACTCTTAGATTAGGACAAGTGTGTGAAGTGTTTGAAAGGAAAATTGTCTAAGAAAACTAAGAAAGGCGCCACACGAAGCACCGGTTTGTTAGAATTAATACACACCGATATTTGTGGGCCTTTTCCCGATTCCATTAGTGGTCATAACTCCTTTATTACTTTAATAGATGATTACTCACGCTATATGTTCCTATATTTGATTAAGGAAAAATCTGAATCACTAGATATGTTCCAGGCTTATAAAGCCAAAGTTGAAAATTAACTCGATCGAAAGATCAAAGTGGTGAGATCGGATAGGGGTGGAGAGTTCTATGGTCAACACACTGATATTGGTAAGGCTCCCGACTCTTTTCATGAACTTTGTAAAGATCATGCATGGGATCATCAATCAATATACCATGCCTGAATTTCTCTATGCAGTGAAAGATCAAATGAAAGGTTTTTCAATGTTTCCGCTCTTTTTTAATTTCTATTTTCAAGGATTTTGGTCCGGCTTCTTCATTGGCCGAGAATTTTGTCCGCTTCATGTGAGCGTTTGGTATGTTATTCTTCTAGCAATGTCTAGAGGTTTTGTGTTATTAATCGGTGGAATCGATCTGGTGAATCTTTATTGTTCATGGTTGGTAAAGTTTTTTCAACCTTGTTGTTCCAATGCTTCAAATACATGCCCACCACCTGAACCACCGCCTCGCTCTGGGAAGAAGAACATGATCAATTGAATCTCCTTTTCGGTGGCTGGTCAAACTGATGCTTCGGAAAATTTTTGTTCCATTGATTTTCCTTTGTTGGTTGTTGGTCAAACCAATTCTCCCTTTCCGGTGGCTGATGAAGCCGGATCTTTTAGTTGTAATTTTTTATTTTCTCTTTGGAGTAACAAGAAGAGCAGTAAGACTGTTAGACTAGACTACATTATTGCGGGGTTAGAGATCTGGAAGGATTCATTGGATCTGTTCCGTTCTATGTCTCATCCTATTGTAGCCTTGGGCTATTCATTCTCTTTTAGCTTTGATATCGTTTAATAATAAATTAGTTATTTGATTTTCAAAAAAAATGTGGTGATGAGGCTATTGTCTAGCTTGAAGACTTGTGAACTGCCCAGGCAGTTTTTTGGATCATCTACTAAGAATTCCCACGACTATAATCTTTTTTGTGACTTTGCCCAGAATGACCAAATCTATTGAATTTTTGAAGGCTTGTAAAAAATCAATTAACTTTGTTTTGTCAATGTGCTAGTGTTATAACATTCTAGTATAAAAAGCGATTGAAAAAAAAATGTTTTGTTTGCAAGTAACATACTTGATTTTCAAATTTATTTACTCTACAATATTATTTAATTTTGTTTGACAAATATTTAATTTCCCCTGTTGGGTACACACGGGTAGGAGTGGGGCGGGGATGAGGGAGTGAACCCCGCCTCATTACCATTCCTAACCACAATGTTATTGTGATTAACTTTGTTAAAATTACTTATATTTGGGGGGAGGGGGTTATTTTTGGGGGGCCAATTTTTTTCTCTCATATATATGATGAAAAAAATATTTTTTTGTGGGGGGCATGCCCCCTGGGTCTTTATTAAGGTCCGCCATTGCGGAAGAGGTTACCCGCTTACAGAAAAGGCAGAGAGTAGAAGAGGATACGAAGTGGAGTGAGGAGAAATAATTTGGTAAAAAAACTTATATATAGCGTGTACACGAGCGTGTAAAACGCTGTGTGCACAGAGCGTTTTTGTACTAAAAAGTATTTTGTTTGAAAGAAATATTATCAACTATTGTTAATCACAACAAAGTTTAGAGCACTCATATTATAGGAACGAGGAAACAGAAATAAAGATCGGCATTCAAACTAAAATAATGGGTGATATTATGTATACATATAAGGTATAAAACCGCATTTACTTTTTATAGAAAAAGAACAAAAAAAAGTCGCACACAATACATCTTAGATACAAAACTTTTATCATTTCACATCTAATATATAGATTGTTTGCGACATTTTGTAAGATATAAATTGAGTATTTTACATGCGAAATGTTGAAATGTACACAATTTACATCGTTTGATTTGACGATTTCATAAAAATATAAGATATTTCTTTAAACATTTTAAACTATACAATGAAAAATAATATTTTACGTGAAGGCTGTAAATACTATACATGGTTATTATAAAAGAACGCAATTTCTTTGCGTGAAATATATATACACTTTGATGGATAATAGGCAGGGGCGACTTTGAGGGGAGTATGACCAGGCATTTGCCTTGGGCCTCATACTCTAGTGGGGCCTCAAAAAATTATTAATAGTATAAAATATCTATTTTAATTTTAAGAGTTTGGAAACAACCTCCTTCATTTTCGACATTGTGTAAAATTATACTTAAGGTTATTGGGTTCAAAGTTCAAAGATAAGTTATTTTAGCTTTAATTAGTTTTCAGGCTCGCAACCATCACATTAATGTGTTAGTACTGCAACCATCACATTAATGTATTATGAAGTAATGTTTGATTAATTTGATGGGAGTAGTTCTTTAGTTTTTTTTTTCACTAACCATTCTTTATTTGTGAATTTTAGCTTTTTGTTGACTGGCAATCAAAAATCAAGATTCGTAGGGAATAAAAAGTACTACTCCATCAAAGTTTTCAATTATAGGGCAATGTTTAAGTTAATAATTAAATAAGATAATTTAAGTGTAATTTAAGAAATAGTTTGGGATTGGAAAGTATAGAATATAATAGAGTAACCTTAACGGATTATAAGTGCGATGTTATGAGAGTATTAGTTTTAATATGTGATGGTTAATTTGTCATTTAAAAGATTTAATTATTTTTATAAAATGAAAATAAAGATTTAGAACGTTTAGATGGAACATCCAAAAAAGACAAATGCTAATTTTTACCTGGGTGGACGATGTGTAAGTTTTGGTCCATTTTACATATGTTTACATTTAAAAATTTATTATATGATGGATGCACTTTGGTGTTGTTTTTCACATTTTGTGTTTTTATCAATTTCTATCATACTCCATATTATTTTTCTAAATGTATTTTGTGTTATAGAAATCACAATGATATGATATGTCAATATTAAATGTTTTTCTGTCTAAGGCCTTCAGAGTTCTAAAGACACCTCTGATAATAGGGTATTCAAACATGTATTTTAGTAGAGATTAAGCTAGAAAGTGGAGAAGAATATGAATAATGTGTATAATATTGATTGATGAGGTTTACAAGACCTCTCATAGGGAGTGTTTATAGAGAAATAACGGGCTGAACCGCTGTTCAGGCCCAATAATCGTGAGTCCGGGGAGCTGAGTTCATATACTCTATCAAATATAAACTACACACATAACTAAATAATTTCTTTTCCGTATACACGTTCAAGAATCAATTCCCTAAACTTTACATGCAACCCATCCTTTTGCGTGTACAATATTATTGTGTAAACTTTACGTTCAATAAAATATATTATTGAGAGTTTCTGATCTGAACATTTGAAAAAATAGTTGATCTGATATGAATTTTCCTAATCTGATCTGATTTGAATTTTCTGATTTGATTTAATCTGATTAATTTGAATTTTTCTGATCCGATTTTAATAAAATAAGAATAAACAATAAGAGTAAGATGAGCAGAACCAACTCCTTATAGTAAAGAAAAATCAGGTTCCCAATAGATGGACTTGGCACATAGCCCATGCAGTGTGGCATGTATTTTAAAGTCCAACATAAATTATCCTATGGTCAATTATGCTTGTCCCGTGAAAAGCTCTATACTTTCTCATAACCTTCTTCAATGGTTAGGGCATTTCCAATGCTAAAACGTGAACGGTACATACGTGACATGAGAGATAACCAATTAAAAAATAATGAATAGAATACATCTCTCCTTATTTGCAGGATCTTGTATCATATTGGTAAGTTTTTCTTCACAATGTCAAGTACAATGTCTAGATGTAGACATTGTGCTTGACATTGCAGAGGAAAACTTATCAAAAACACATAAAACCGTGAAAAGAATGAGAGAGAAATGTCATAAAAGCACACGATAAGGTCCGACTTTAGACCGGTTTAAAAGTACAAATAATTTCCTATGGGACATAATGATAACTCGAAATTATTGAATGTAAAAAGATATGATAAAAAATGGTAACAACAAAATAAGTGCGGGAACTTACCTCTATCTCTAAAGTTCTTACATTCTATTACAAACGTTTATCATTTAGTAATCATCAACATACCAAATCACTTTCATATGGAATGGCTATCATCCAATGTGGATGCATATATTGTCTCCATGATGAATTTTCTTCTTGACCTAGTAGTGTATTTTTGTCCCAATTATGCCATATTGTCAATCTTTTAATCAACCCAACGTGTTTTCAATCCTAACCCAGACTAGATCAAATCAAATCAGAATTAAATAGATCTGATCAAATTTAAACAGATTAGATCGATCACGTCAGTTCAAACTTAAATAGACTAGGTCAGATCAAACCGTGCCAAAAAATTTCAGTCCAATTAGTGTAATAATTTTTTTTATCAACACAACGCTTCAACTATGCTAGAACTTAACCTAAATCATTTATTAAATTATGTGGTACATTATATACTACTACGATCCAGGAGTGTGTGTTTGCATGTATGTTATTGTCTGCATATATATTACGGTCTACGCATTACTTCCAATCCCACAAGTTTAAATGGGTGATAAATTTCAAACACACCATTCAAGCAGTGAAGCTTACAATGATCTTGTATGAACTGGTTTGATCTAATATGGTAAATGTCTAGTCTCTGTATATTTTATAACTGTCCAATTCTTGTCTAGTTTGGTCTAGTACGGTCTGATCTGATTTGAGACTGAAAACAATCCAAGTAAAAATATGCATAGTCTAAATCGCACCATTTAGAAATAAATCAATTAGAAATAGAGGGGGCTCCCCCACCCCTAAAAAAAGTTAATGTTTGTTTATGTGTGTATATATTTATAATATGTAGAAAATATGTTGATGTAGAAAATATGTTGAAGTTTTAACCTTTGACACCTGCAACTGTTCAGGGGTGCACCTAGTAGTAAATGATGAATGATAATAAAATTATAATTTGCGACTTCATAATGCAAAACAATATCAAACAATATACTCTTTCGTATAATTTACCGACTTAATTTTAATCGGACAGTAGACTCATTCATTTTTTTATATAATTTTCATAAGATCTAATTCATTTCCATAGCAAAGATCTATACTACTCCAGTACTCCTTCTATCCCAAAAACTCATTGATATGTAAGTTAACTCTTCTTTTTGATTTATTCTAAAAAGAGAAAAGGGTCAAATAAGGCTCTCTACTATTATGAAATAGTCACATAAGGTCTTGTACTCAATAAAGTATCATATAAGTACCTCTACTTATAAAAAACAATTAAATAAGTCACAACGACCTATTTACAACCTCCTAATCCCGGTTTTAGCTTACATGTTGATTTTTTTTACTTGCATTTCAACCAATCTTAGTTAAATATTCGACATATGCCGTATAATCTATTCTAAAAAGATGGTCAGAAGTACGCTAAAACCAGGATTAAGAGGTGTTAAATAGGTCATTAGGACTCATTTGATTGCTTTTTACAAGTAGATGTACTTATATGACACTTTATTGAGTACATGACCTTATGTGACTATTTCATAATAGTAGAAGGCCTTATTTGACTCTTTTCTCTTCTAAAAACTTTGTCACTTTTTATTTAAAGTAATAAATTTGAGATTGATGTTATTTCTCTATTCTGTTTAAAAACAGCACACATGTTTTACTTTTCTTAACACCCTCAATACAAATTTAACAATGTCCAATACAACGAGCCAACGAGGTAATATGAGTATGAAGCTAAGGGCCACCTAGACCTTTCCGGTGGAAAACAAACTTGTAGATATAATGAAGAGTTGGTGTTTACATTTTGTCACATGTATAGTCATTTTCATTACAAAAGCAAGGCCATCGCAGTCAACTATGCTACTCTCTTCCATGGACCTCAGCTACAAATCAAGCCCATGC